GAAAGGGGACTGCTCTGTTGGAGGTGCTCTCAGAGGCTGGCTGAGGCCTCAGATGCCGGCTAGCCCAGCAGCACTGTGGCCCCTGTGCTCACCCTGCGGCTCCAAGGGGCGCTGCTGGCCAGCGGGAAGGCATCTCAGCACAGCTGCTGGCGGCTCGGGTCTGTGGCTCAAGGGTCTAGCTGCTCTCCTGCTCTGGGCATTCATGGTCTTTCAGGACGTCTTCAGACAGCCTCTCAAAATGCTTCAGATAAGATGTTACATTTAAGCACAATTTAACCATTGTATATTGAGTAGACTTTAAAAAGAAAAAAGAAAAAAAACACTTACAAAAGAATATAACAAAATACCGGAACAGAAAAAGAAGTGAACAGACTAGAAACGAGGTGTGAAGTCCTCACTGTGTGTCTTTGGGGGGCTTCCTGTCCGTCTCCCTGGCAGGTCTCAGCGTGGATCGCCCCTGTGCCAGAGCCATAAAGGTCGACTGTCCGTACCCCCTGTCCCAGGTCACAGCCCGAAACAGTGTGGTGTGGGCGCTGACTGAACAGAGAGCCCTCCTGTACCGGGAGGGCGTGAGCAGCTTCTGTCCTGAAGGGGAGCAGTGGAAATGTGACATCGTCAGGTATCAGCGGGGAGGAGCTGGGACCCCTTCAGCGGCTGGTTTGTCCCACCCCCGTTCTTGTCAGGGGGCTCCCCTTTCCTGGACACAGCTGGTTCCCTGAAGGTTTCCATGGTTACAGTGTTCTCTGCAGCCGGCAGGGCCAGTTTGAGCAGCCTGACCTTGGAGACGTCCCGTGCCAGCCTCTGACCAGCACGCTGGACGTTGGGTCAGAGCTCAGCTTTTAAAAATGCTGCTGCCTCTTGTGTAACCTGGAGCGTCCCGCAGTCACAAGTCTCCTGACCGGCTCTTTGCAGAACAGCCCAGTGTCGGGCGTTTCTGTTTAGAACCTCAGATGGTTTAGTAAGGCCAAATATTTTTCTTCATTATCATCCTAGTCAATTGAAACTGATCTCTGAATTGTAATTTATTTGGTTACATTATGCCATTTAAATTTTTAATTACAGAATTGCTATCAAATCATTTTGCTAATGTGAAGTTATTAACAGTCCTTAGAAAAATGAGATTAGGATATTCTTGGTTTGATTTAGCAACCCAGCAAACTTGAGTGAGTCACTATTGTGAGCCAGACTGCTGGGCTGGGTGTGCAGAGATGACTCAGCCATAGCCCTGCCCTCACGGGCCATCACGGAGCTCCGAGTCTGGGGGCCAGTGACTGACCAAGCCCAGTTAGTGCAAATGGTCCTAAACCAGAGAGCAGGGCACGGAGCACGGAGCACGGAGGGCGCCTTGGCTCCACCGGCAGAGGCTGGGCCTCGAGGCTGGTGAGGGCGTCACCAGATGGGCGGGCGGGGAGGGGCAC